TCTTTACTTGTTCCAGATGGCATCTTTACTTGTTCGGGATGGCATCTTTACTTCTTCTGAGAACAAATTGAGATGAGATCATGGATCCAGTTCATGCACTTATGAAATGAACTTTCCACTCACCACTCGTCATATTTGGATCCATAGACATTTCTTTTTGATGTTGGAAACATTTGATAATGCATTCCTCTGCCTCCTGAAACTTTGACAAAGTCTGTAAAACATTCTCTTCCCCAACGATGATGAAAGCTTGTTTCATAGTTCCTCTAGAAGTCACCTAGGATTTGCTGCGTGCACCTAACTTCATAGAAGTGCCCTAGGATGATTTCGTGGTTCGTTAAACTGTTCCTGTGTTCTTACATTTTCTTCATGATGGCAAGTGTAGACAACTTGGTTACCTTGGAGATCTTGTCCACATTTCCTCAGCATCGCTCGGATCCCTGTTTGCTGCATGATGTGCTTAACTAATTGGATGGGCGGAGACTCAGAGGTATGTCCATTAATGCTCTGCATGCTCACTTCCACCACACCTCGTCAGGAAACATCACCATCAGTGTTCCATCGTGAAAGAAAAAAATCAGCCTGTTTCTAAAGCATTTTAGACTCGTGTACGTTATTGTTACTACAAAAGTTTAATCCCTAATGGAGCACATTTGTCTGTGTTGGTTACACATGTATTTGAGATTAAACTCCTGTACTTAGCTAGAGGACTGAGCTATATTCATACAGCTGGTGATATTTTGATCTCGTTGATGCAAAGTTCAAGCAGTCTGTATGTTTTAGTTTACTGTCTACTTTTACAACTTGAAATTGATTGTGTAGCATCCTATCCCTACGGCATAGTTTTGGGCACGGGGCCTTCCAGGGTACACATTCTTGTTTTGTAGATGTGGGGATTACCCATATTTTGGACAATTGTCTCACACAACTTTGTGAGGACTGTTGAAAGTCCTCACAATCCGATCCGAATTGGTTTATATAAGGAAAATCCCTTACCATGTGATGTTATCCAAGGCTCATCAACCAGTCTGCACACTCAATATGTCTGCTTCACTCAATTTTGTGTGATTGATCACGTCATCTTCTACATATTACCTTCTATACTGGAGGAATGTCAGGTGATCAGAGATTTTGTCTTCCACTATAGAAGCGAAAGATAATATTAACAGTATAAAAAATTTTCTGAAAATTTGTCATTCCGAGGAGTTTGAGACAAAAAAAAAGCTTTCATTTTTCTTGAGAAGGTTATGGAGGTCATGTGTTTAACTTTCTTTCTAGTCAAACCAGAAATATAAGTAAAAAGTAAGAAATATTCGTGAATGTATTTAGGATTGTTTCTGAAATTGAGAAGACTCCTTCATTTCATGTTTCACAGTAAAAGTTTGTGTATTCTCACACTAAAACTAAACTATGTTGTATGACTAGAAAATATGTGTTCTGTGACATTTACGTTATCCACCGCTAACCAAATATTGTAGAGTAAAAGTAAATCATGCCGGAGACCACGTCTCGGCAGACTCCCACTTACATGTACCTTTGGTTGCCATGGTATTTCATGCAAGTTTATGGCATATGGTTTAATGCCAGTCCATTAGACGTTAGTGCCCAAGCTTACCAAGATGTCTACTTCGTGGGTGGGAAGAGTCTGCCAGGGTTAAGTGCTTCAGTTGCCAACAAAACAAAGAAATGGTTTGTCATTGAGAACCTGTGAAATTGTCATAGTTGAAGGAAGTTGCATCCAAAATTCAGTGTTATAGTCAAGACCATCACAAGACCAGACACAAGACCATCACAAGACCAGACACAAATAACAGGGTGAACAATGACAAAAGAATGCTTTTGTTACAGTTTATCTAAATAGTTTGTTGGCTTGAATTCGGACTGGAGGTCATGTGTTGGCTTTGTGCTGGTCTTGTTAAGGTCTTTAGTGGTCTCAGCTACAACACAGCTTAACTTACTTGCAGAATTTTCCCTCCAGCAATCTAATTTAAAAGCAGTGTTCTTTACAGTTTGGTAGTGTGTGAGAATAACTCAAAACCTTTTTTTCTTCGATGAGAGTCGCAAACTCAATCCCATGACATCCAGCTATTAAACTTGGATGTCTTGATGTGGAGTTCTTGACCACTTGATGACTGACCTTGATGGTGTTCGTTGGCCCTGGTGTACCAAGAGGTCATGCTTCTTTAGCTCATGCACTCAGTGTAATCTTCCTGCAATTAGTACTATACTATGCTTGATTACAGCTTTAACCATTTCCTGCCGGGCGACCATTTTCAAGTACATAGGCTTTATATGCAGAGCCGGGGAGCCGGGAAGTGGGACAAAAGAGTTGAACCTTATAACAAAAGACCATGCTCAGTACAAAAGACTGAGCTGCTGAGCATTACCCAAATTTTTTCGCTCTCAATAGTGGAGAACATCCAGCCTTGTTTTGAAACAGAATACCACGGTTTGAGGCATTTAGAGCAAGCGGATTACCACCGGGGACAAAAGCTCTCCATTTCCACAGCGATGAGCCACACAACACCGCTGCACGCTAATCTGGCCCCTGA